TTAATGAGAGCTGGACTGCAACGAGCGATCTGTCAAGTCACTTATAGCCTGTCCAAGGAATCACCAGAAGGTCTTACAGTTCTCCTGCAACCTTCGGTATTTCAGGCTCCAGGCCAAGCACAGAAAATCAGCACAGATGGTACCAGAGAACTGCAGCCCAATGTAACTGTGCTAATGAAGCCATGTACTTTCCACAAGAGCAAACACAACAGGGCACCGTTAGTACCTGGCAGAGAAAGGGAAATACCAGACTACACTAAGCAAAAGTAAGACTCCCATCTGCGCTTTCAAGAACATAACAGCTTCCAAAAATGGAAATGATATGTAAAAGACAATCTAACTAAACAACACTGATTTGTGCTCTGTTAGAATAAGGCACAAGTCATCTTCCCTGAACCCTGTTAGGGAGTGATCTGCTGTGCAGAATCTAGAAATCTGGAAGGGAGGTGGTGAAAATCTGCCTTACAATAGCATTTCACTAAGACACTAGGTACTAGGAAACTTTTTGGCTGTAGTCCACCCAAGAGTCAAGCCGCAGGCTCTGGTTGCTTGTAGCAACAGAAAATGTATTGGAAAGAAGGAGAAGAGTCACTTTCTGGATGCCAAGATGGTGCAGGATGCTTCTGGTCCTCAGTGATCTTCTAGGACAAAAAAAAATGGCACTAAGCCTTTCTGATCCCCCTGCATCATGGTCATCACACGCACACCTGGCTCAGAGACTCTTCTGTAAAGCAGTTTTGTGATGATTCATAACTCAGTGCTCATAGAAATGGAAAAACATGTGGCAACATAGATCCAGCACCCTCGCCTCAAAGTGGAGATTCAGGACGATGGCAGCAGCGGTAGCAAAAGCAAATTACTCGCAAGAGTAATTGGGATGTGAATGAAAAAGCAAACAAGCACGCAAGCTTCGCATTTGTACTCTGGCATCAGCCAATATATTACTGCCAAGCTGATGAGGTACCAAGGTGTTACTCATGTTACTCTTACTATAACAGATGAACATCCCTGAAAATCTTTAGCGTGAAGATGAGTGATGTCTTCCGATAAGTCTGCAATAACCCTTACCTTTGAATGCTCTGAAAGAAAGTCTGGGAGGAGGTAGACCTGTGCAAGAAGCTCTATGTAGTCACGGCAACGGAAGTAATAAATGTGAGAAAGGATACTTTCAAGAGAGAAAGTCTCCAAAGCTTTTAGATGATCTGAGAACAAATAAATAGATGAGTAAATGAGTCAGAAGTCTGTACTAGCATATTGCTACTTTCGTCATTCTACCAAACTATGCCTTCCACATATAGCAACAGCAAAACCCACAGAAACAGTCAAGGTAAAGAAACATGCCTTCCATCTGGCTTGAAAGTCAAGGAGGTGGTGAGCAGATGCTATCTCAGCATTTGCACACAGATACACCGGAGCCTCCAAGGGAGTGCTCCAAAAATGAAAAATTTATTTCTGAAAAAAGAACTTTTCCAGTAAATCATTTTCAAGCCAGAACACCACCAGAGGACAACAGTGACTATTAATCATCCATTATTTAATGTACAGGCAGTAGCTCATTTAATATGGTGTCCTTTTACCTCTGTTCAAACAGAAGTTTGCTGTATAAAATACTCTTAAGAGTAACATAAAAGTTGTGTCAGTATCCCCAACACACTGACGACTTCTAGAATAAAAGTCTTCATTAAATGCAACCTGGCTATATTGACCTTATGAAGGAGCTGAATTCCAGCTACAGTTTTACAATATGGGGCTTCAGCAGCAATATTGCCTTAAGAAATTCTGCCGTTCCTCTTCTTTTTCCCCAGCTGCTCTTCCTGTCCCTGCGTTGCAGCACGTTATTCCTCAGTTTTGCTGACAGAGTTGTGTTTGGGTTTTGCTGTAAATTCGATCATTAAAGTGCTAAACAAACAAACAAAAAGCAACAGCCAAAAACCCCACAGACCATCATGTAGAAAAAGAATTATTCTTAAAGTAGATCAGCTCAGCCTGCAGCATGGCTCCACACAGTGACGCAGTTCAGGGTTTGATACATACAGGTGGAAATAAAGGCTGGCAGCAAGAACTCCTTAAGCCAGCACTGCTGCTGAAACCCTCAAACTGTAAAACTGCAGCCTACGAGAAACTCGTTTCACTCAGATCCTCGCCTACTAGGCAGAAAGAAATGACTTAGCAACGTACCTTCCTCTTGATGAGCTTCAGCAATAAGCCGGCAATGCCGCACACAGGCAGTTGCAATATCCACTACTCTGTCTACCATAAAACTTCCCTCAGTGTCAATGAACACAGCTTCTCCAGCTACGCCCCCGAAGCATTCTGGTATCTGTACGTCTACTGCCAACTGCATACTGCCATGGGAAACAGAAAAAAGACAAATATTTACACCACAAAGCTCTCCCCTCCCAACTCACTCCTAAAGTGACATTTCTGCTGAGGAACATGTGGAACAGGGAGCAGTACAGCCATTATCATTATTATATTTATAATGCTGTATAAGAATCAGAGATTGCAGGCATGACAACAAGAAAAATGAACTCTCTTCATAGTTAAACCAAACAAAGAAAAGTGATTCTCAGTCGCACAAAAGTAATCTAAAAACAAAATACCACAGCTGTGTTTTCCCAACACCAGGCGCTCCGCAGATCTCGGTGATTTTCGTTAGTTGCACACCACCTCCCAGAATATTGTCTAGTGCTGAACAAAAGGTGATGATGAAGCCCTGGGCTTGCTCTTCTTCCAGAAGCTCCAGCGCTGTGCACCTCCTGGTGGCGCCTGATCCCCCAGCAGTCCTTGCTGCATCCCCGTGACATTCCTGCCTCACAACCCGTAATGCTTCCAGTGCCTCTTCTTTGGAGATTCCAATTTCTAGAAGAGTCAAAATCATGAAACACTACTTTATTTTTATAAACAGTGATTTATTTCAAGTACGAAGAGATAATTCAACTTGTTGGACAGAACCTGATCATTCTGCAGTGGAACACAAAAATATTAAGCCTTTTAGTATAACGATGTGCACAGCTTGCCAACGTCTCTGGAACTAACGATGTGATTTTCAAAAGAACTCAGAGCAATGATGCCCTGAGTTCAGAATTCAGGTGACAGTAAGCGATCTGCAAATAAAAAAAATTCAAAACTGCTGTTCGCAGACGTGGATGAGATCTGGCGGAGCAATTCACCTATTCTGCACTGAATGTGCTATCATATTAACTTCATTTGAAGCAAATCAGGTCCTGTAAAAGAAGTCAGGTTGCAGACTAGTAAGTGACAGTGACACCTACTGATCGTACTCTGCATTCTCAGGGTATTCCAGGGCTGAGCACCTTAGCCATCATTTCTAGATCCGAAACACAGACCTAGTAACAGATGAGACACCTGCAAATATCTCTGTGTGTCTATCTTTACACACGCATATCTGTCAGGATCTAACGACTTCACTTGGATCTTCAAGGCAAAACTATTACCACGTTATCATGGGTAATAAAACTACTGATAATCAAAATCGTGATACACTTCTCACAATGGCTGTGCAAATCTTATTTTAGCTGCTTGAAAAAGGTAACTTTCTGACCTCATAGAAGTTTATTTTGTTTAAAGCATGTACAGTTGGGGAAAGAAGAGGAATGAGAGAGACAGAATCCTCTGGTTTTTCTTTTTCTGTATCCCATTTACATCTATGACGCAGTGTAAGAAGGATCTTTTATCAGAATCGTCTTTCTTGTTTCGTTTTCGCTCAGGCACACGTGAAAGTCAGTGAATATTCACCGTGCCCGTTTCTCTAGCCTGACCCGAGGTCTCAGCGGGGTTTCTCAGGGGAGCTGCCCGGAGCTGAGCCGCAGCACTCCGGTACGGATCGAGCGCCTCGTCTGCCCAAGCTGCTTCCTACGCGTTAACCATCGACATAAGCGAAGCCCTGCCGAACCCCCACCCTCGCTAATAAGCTACCGCGACAGTTTCGCGGAAAGGAAAGGGTTACGGAAGGGCTGCGGGGGAGACCTGCCCGAAGGGGGGATGCCCGGGAGGCGGCCTGCG